ATGATCATGCACCCGACTGTTCACATACCGTTGGAAAACTATTGCATCTGCAGACATGTAAAGTACATGCAGAACCTATCTCAGATGAGCGACCTGCCACGGTTGCAGCAAGCACCTTGGCTCAAATCTCGGCTAGGCCAACAACTACATGCACGAAACACTTCTCTTCGCCCGTCTTCATCTGAATGTCTTGATCCAAATGACCGTCAAGACTGAAAGAGTTGCGGCAGCTGCGAGCGCTTCCGAATCTGGGCCTGCAAAGCAGCAGAAAGTCGAGCAATGTATGCGTGCAGACAGAGAATGGCGTGGCCTTGGGACATGTCGAAGCTATCGCCCGCCTCGCAAAGCGAAGATGTGACGACGGCGCAGAGTATGTCTTGACAGTACTTGGGCACGAGTCAAAGCTTGAAACTTGAAAGGGTTGTCCGTCCTGAGGAAAGACTTGCCATGTGGCGTGGCATAGGCATGCTGCCAGGACCAACGTCACTGTCAAGGCGTTGAAGAGGACGGCCTGCTGGAGACCGACGTTCCCTCCGAAGGCTGCGACAGCAAACCCTAGACTTCCCTAATCAGCTCAAGAGTTTCAGATTTTCGACTGCAGAGGTGGAGCTCCACCTCCAGGCCTTCAAAATAGAATAACCGAAATGACGAATAGGCATTTCTGTTGCTGCAGACAAGAACTTCATAATCGCTAAGATGTCTGCCTTGAGCCTGATTGTCCGCCAAGTGGCAAGCAGGCCCAGTATGGACGGTGCATTGCTGCTAAGCCAAGTCCGTATCGCACGATGCTTGACAAGCTGTCGCTGCGTGGCCTGAGCAGGTTTGAGAATGATTCGGCAGATCCGAATCTAGGCTCACGATACTCAGCCGCGTGGCGCTGAGAAACTCCGAGTTGGGATCACCCAGGCGAGTTGCAAACCGGACGCTGGACCTCGACTTCACAGAGGGCCAAGGACTGTTATGACATTAAGCCGGCTGCTGTCGTGAACGACGTAATGCCGGGATAGGCCAGGACTGAGCCCAAAACACGTGCGATATCACATAGGAGCTACCTTGTCGCTTCGAAGCAACCTGGCACACGAGCTGCCCAAAGCTTCCCGCAGTTCGCAGCTCACAGCAAAGCAGCACCTCCTTGCCCTCGCTCTGAAGGCCACGTGTCCAAGTGAAGCGCCCTGCTATCTTGTCCACGTGCAGCTGCTCCACAATATGAGAGCCTGAGACTGGCTCGCGGTCTCGAGTTCCCATGGTAGGCTCACGGCTTCGCTGCGGTCCTTGTCGCAAGCCATCCGAGTAGGTGAAGCTGTACCTTGGGCCCACAATGGATCCTTTGAGTGACTCGGTTTGCTTTGCCTTGCTGGGATGTCATGCTTCAAGCCTAGCCGAGAAGCAAGTCTTCCCCCGACCCTGCCATCTATCCCCCAGGGCCGCGCGGGCCCTATATTGGGAAGCTGAAAGCCAAGCGGGCAGCGGCAGCGCCATCTCTAAGTGGGTCAAAGCACGTCGTGTGCATCCCATTGCTGGTCGTGTCGAACAAGTGAACGACTCGACTTGACTCGACCATACATGAGTCCGAAGCCAGCGATCTTTGCATGAGTCTCTGCTAGGCCACGCAGCACTTGGTTTCCCTTGCTGGGCCTGCCGCAGCCACGGTGGACACGGCACTAGACTTGAACCTTCGGGAATCGGGACACCCCACTTCATGCTGCTTCCCAGCCGAAGAACCGCGAACAGCAACATCGGATTCGCTGAGCCACAGACCAGAATGAAGCCTCCGTGCTGCTGAATTCACGCGGCATGCAAAGTGGGATGATTTACAGATTTGCAAACTCTTTCCAGCTGCTGTGAAGCGGCGGTGCTGGATGCCACTTCCTGGGCGACCATTTGCCCAAACCTTATGCGGCAGCACCACACTTCAATACGTATGAGGAGCCCAAGTGCACAAACACCTGAGGCCCACAAGTGAGCTTCCTGATGTAACAATGCACTAAGACGAAAACACGCCGCTCACATCCAGCAACTCTTGCGTCTCCCAATGCAGTGCCTCGCAAAGGCATGCTGTCATTTGGGGCGTGACCCTCGATCAGTTGCACCCGCGGAAAGCATTGCCGACTGGGACCGGAGCCAAGTGACCACTCTTCGGGAAGAACACCTGAGAGGAGATAGGAGATGCAGGCCCACTCATCAACCCTCGGGCCCCACCTTGGCTGCGTCCATCCACGGCTTTCGAAAGTCAGCCCTGGCGGTGGCGAAGCTCTGGTCACCGAAGCCCTGAGCCTTGAGGGCGCTACCTGTCTTGTATCCAGCCAGACACGAACAAAGCCAAGTGGACGGACCTCTCATGCTCGTGGACTGGCAGCTCACCGCTCACGGAATGCCCTCTTCCCGTGCTTGGGCGCGGGCCTCTGCACCTGACAGCCACGGAGGAGGATGGGATCGTACTCTGCTATTCGTGCTCGTTCGTGCCTGGTCCACCTTGTGCTGGAAGTGGTAGCGCACGGTCGTGCTCCCGCCAGGACTGGTGGCAGTGGCAACCAGGTTGCCCCCCTCTATTGACATCCGCTCAGCTTCAGCTCTCTCGCTACGCCAGTAATCCCAGTACACTGCCGATGCTAGAACGGATGTGCCTGCTGCCAGAGTTAGGCAGGGTCTGCCGACCTGCACCGGCAAGGTTGGGCAGTACACCTCTCTTCTCGGAGTCCTCCCTCGCATGTGCTGAGGTATGGGCGAGTAAGCTCGCTGCCTGGAAACTGGACAAGATAAAATTGCGTTCAATTCAAGTGCCCTAGTTTCTTCATTCTCGCATGAAAGAAGATGGCCCTCCTTGCCAGGCTACTGTCGATTCTGCTGGTACCCCAGGCCATTCCATGTCTTGGTGCTGGGTTTTGAATGTTGGGTGGATCCCTCCTCCGGAGTAGAGGGGGTTGTTCGCTTGGAGATGTCCCAAGCACTTCTAGTCGGCAAGTGGGCATGAGGAAGCACATGAAAAAGACTGATCATTTTCGTCGGCTTACATACCGGATTCATATGAGAGAAAGGCTGCCTTAATTGCCAAGTGTGAAAGGCAGGAAGGAAAGGATCGCAAATTTTTCTGGATTCTTCTGACACTCTGAAACAGAACATGGCCTTTTCGAAGAGCGTGTAGCCCACCACCAGTGATGGGTACGGCAACCTGTTCCAGCATCATGAGCGGAACAGCCGGACGGTCCGAAGCGGCACAAAATCCCTTGCAAGAGTTCCGGTTGACATTGCAGCTCTCGGAGCCCGCAATGCCCAAGCTTCAATCTGAGGGTCCAAACATCCTGGATCAACGTGCCGTCCTTAGCCACGATGGCCGCGGCCCCAGTCGAAAATTCTTCTCGTTTGGGAACGCTGTGTAAGGCCTGGGGGCTAGGGTTCTTGGCCTTGGGGGCTCCAGGAAGACTTTCGTGGGCTTCCGGGCTCCGGGTGCAGGGTTCGCATCGTCGGCATCGGGCACCTCCTGCCAGTGGCCTGCCCAAGCTTCACCGCCGTCACCATCGTCATCATATCTTGTTTGAAGACAGTTGCTGCTCAGACTCTTGGCCCGGCCAGACTTTTAGACACGAGATCCACCTAGTCCTGAAGAAGCGGGCATCGCCCCATGACACTAGCGGAGCGCAGCGCCGTGTGATCCAAGTACTTAAGCAGCAACCACTGCAGCAGTCTGCCATGGCACGGTGGTCGCTTGATCCAGCGCTGCCGTGGCCTCCTTGGCAAGGGAACCGCGAGGAGATTCGCACGGCACAACCTGCATGATGATCGAACCGTCTGTCATCTGACAGAGTGAGACTCGCACCGCATCATCCAGGTCAACAGTTTCCTGGATCGTCCTGAGACTGAGGCTGTGCAGAGTGGATGCCGCCGTGCCAGGATGATTGAAATATGAAAGGAATAGCTCCAAACCAATCTACAATCAACCCCAGCGATCCTGAAGCTGGTTTCCAACGGCTGGAATTCGAATTCCTGCGCCGGTGGAGAGGGTGTGGGGGGAGTGGGGGGGGAGGGGGGCACAGGAGCACAAGAGAAGGAAGCAAAGGAGAAGCCTTTGCCTGGAGCCCTTCACCTCAGGTTCAGGAGATCGCCTCCAGGTCTCCCCATCGCTTCGACATCTTCCACCCGGTCAGTCCAGCGCCTCTCGGAGCTCTTCGCTACATGCTAAATAGGTATACTTATGCATATAAAGAAATATAAGTATTTACATATCTATATGTATATAGTTATATATATATATATACTGCACAGATGTGACATTAGAGACCAGGCAGCCTGTTGCGCCGAACAAGGCCACGGCCCCCGCTGTACCTGGTACTTCGATTCGAATCGCTGCAAGCTGCACTTCTGCAAGCGTCTCACCTAGTGAAGCCAGGATCGAGCCCAAGCCCACGCCCAGGCCACTGATGGCACCTTGCACAAACAGGGCAGCTGAAATACTAGTCGATAGGCGGTAGAAGCAGCTGGGGTCAGCATTTGGGATCACGGCGGGGGGACTCTGAATTTCAATGCTCTGCAGCATGGCACTGTTTTTCCTGTGGGTCTAAGGGGACAAAAGCAGCAGTTCTTGGATGGCCAGACTTTGGATTCACCTGCAGCTTTAAAAGGCCCAGGACAAGATGGAGCTCTGAGAGCTGGCCCAAACTCATGGGTTGTGGCCTTAAGACATACTACGTAATATTTCTGTGGGCCCAAGTTCGGGATTCGCCTGACAAGTACCAGCTGAGGCTCACATTGTCAAGCAGAGCTGCGGATCGGGAAAGTATCTGAAGGCCCCTTCGCTGCAACATTTATTGTGCCACGTCTTTGCCTTTATCCCTTGTGGCCAGGTACACCAGGAGAATATCCTCACCTGTATGGTCGGCTCTCGTGCCTCCAACCAGCACGCCGGCTTGTGTTAAGCCTGCTTCTGGCAGCGGCCATCAGACAAACATGTGGGAACTTGCTGGTGGCATCGTCAACACATGCGCAGGCGATGGCTTCGATTCTTGTTATATTATTGACGAGCTGTGAGCCCGGCCGACCGCTGCGCCAACTGCCGCTGCCTGTGCGCCGACTGCTGCTGCCTGGTGTTTGGCGGAGGACTGCCGCAACAGACCCCTACAGCGCGCTCCTAGCTAAGACGATTTCTGCCATCACATAGAGGACCTAGCACGGTCATTGAGCTCCTGGCACCCGTTGCCAATGCCGGTGCAACGATGGGCGCCTGATTCACGGCAACAATTGTAGCTGCTCGAGATACCTTGCTCTGCTGGACTGTCTGCTAGTCTGCTAAGCATGCTCGGCAATGCTAGGCCGCTAGCAGCAAGACCACCAGTGATGGCCAAGACAAGCCCACCGCCGGCCGCCGCCATGGCCACCTCAGCATGCATGAGATGCGACGCTTCATGGACCTGCTGCGCTGCTGGCCTTACTTTTCCTCCAGCTGTCCCTCGCAGCCTTCTGGGCCTCGAGGATGCTTGAGGCCTCCAGAGCCATAGTGGCTCTCAGCAGCTTCCGAGCATCCTGTCCGAAATCTGATGCCTCCAAAGCCTCAAATAGAGCGCCGCCAATCTCGGATTCCCAACCTGAACAAAACACATGAGGCCGTACGTGCTTGTCGCGGCATCTAGAAGCTTCCCAGAATGTCATCACCTTCGAGTACCCTGCCAGCTATCACCTGTTCGGGAATGCCGAAGTGGCCAAACCTGAGCTGTTCAAGCGCCCTTTGCTTTGTCTCCTTCGGTTGACACCAGCAGCTCTTTCCTGTCTGCAACCGAGGATCATCTCAATCATGGCAGCCTGCAGCTCCGCACGGCCCCGTGCACGCTCGCTTCAAGCGATGCAACGCCAGAGGCGGCAAACGTAACACGTCTCGGAAGCCGACTCTGCTGCGCGCATCAAAGGTCCCAGCTCCAGCCTTGCAAATCATTTTCACTTTCCACTTCACGCAGCGCAGGGTTCCGATCCGAGCTTTCGAGCTTTCGCCGAGTGGCCCCCAGCATCATCGCCAAGAGCTCCCGAGCCAGAAGCCAGGACCGAGGCCTCAGCGCGGAAGAAAGCGTGCCTAACTCTCCCTCCCAACGTCTATGTTTTGAAGCTGCTCCCAGACTTCCACTCTTGCACCCAACCGACGACTCACGCACGATGAGCCAATGCTGTCTCCACAGAGCTGTGGCAGCTGCAAGGCTTTGCTGCCCTTGCTGAAGGCCTTCGTGGCAGGCGCATGACATCAAAGCCGCAAACCTCCACGCCCGTGACCCTCTTCCAAGCCAAGAAACCCTCCACATGTCGCAGCAGATTTTGGCATGCAACTCCAATACTCTCGCCTGACAGCCTGCAGCAAACTTGTGTTCAAGCGGTGTGCCTTTGGGTCTGGAGGCAGCTCACCGGAACCCTGCCCAGGCCAGATGAAGATCGGACACTACTGTAAGTCGACCGGCCTGCCTTCAGCTCCTCCTCGCTGGAAGCTGACAAATGCTTCAAGACCTTGCCAGCCAGCCGCTTGCGGACAATCACAAGAGACGTCGAATGAAATATGCACGCACCTAGTTGCGCTAGACCCTGGAAATCACCGGCACTGGCAGCACTGGCATGAAGGCACTCGCGCCTTCTCACGGCAACCTTCCCTGTAAAGGACCTTGTTTAACGCGGATTGTTTTCTCTCTCTGCTGGGACTTCGCACAGACTCTCAGAGCTCTGCTGCCACAGAAGCCTCATCGGGGGACTTGTCAACATAGGTCAGGCAGGCATCCTCTGTCCAGACCACGCTAAATAAACTTCGCAGAGCAATCCGTGTTTGATCCGACTCGCCTCGGGACACCACAAGCTGCCCTCCGAAAGCTTCCTTGCAGCGACTTCTGCAGATGGGACCAGGACCTCCGTCCAACCACGCGACGCACTCTGACCTCGCACAGTTTTGGCTCAGGCCAGCACCCGCCCAAAGAAGGGCACCCTGGCACCGAGCCGCGCCACGGCATCCTCCCCAACCACTAGGACGACCGAAATCATGTGACCGCGGCACAAGCCGGATTTTTACCACTAGTAACTAGTACCGGCACCATTTCACAAACGCAAGCATAACCCCCTCGTGCGAGACCTTGGTCTTGCTGTTACTTCAAGTCCCTTCCGGTCCTCGCCGCCTACGGGCCAACAGCGGTCGGCAGCCCAACCAACGGTTGACTCCTGGCAAATCACGTCTCATATCAACGAGTGCGTTGAAACTGCTACCGTCAACCGGTTTTATGCTTGATATGCCTAGTGCATGTCCTGCTTAGTCCTACTTTCTCTTCGAATTCACACGCTGGGAACCCCCAACAGCAAAAGAGCATGCGGGAAAAGAGGCTGAGACGAACCTGTCCTGCGTCCCCTCGTCCTTGCTCTGGCTGGCTAGTGCATGCCGGACCTGAGCAAGCATGAATTCAAACTGACTGAAGTTGCCTCGACTCGAGGCAGGCAGCGCGGCAGCCCGTGCCTTGCGCGTTAATTTCGATTAAACTATCTTTTTCCGACGCTTGAACATCTCAGCAGCCGCCAACCTTCGATGCCCTTGAAACAGAACATTCCGGCAACGCTACCCGCAAGTTCCTCCGGGCAGAGTTAAAATCACAAAACTTGGGAGAAATGAAAACAGATCAAGAGATAACGTGGCATAAGATGCTGGTTGGCTGGGAGCTATGCTCCGGCTATGCTCCGGCTATGCTCCGCCATCAGTTCACAACTTCTGAACGCTCACTTCTGCAGGACCATCTCGTTGAAACGCTGCACTTCCTGAATACAAGCGAATTTGAGCGGCATCTCCCGGCACGGAGCTTGGCTGTTCAGGCGATTCAATCTGCCATCACATGTGTGCAGAATGCCACGTGCATGCTGTGGGCAGTAAAGCAGGTTATGCAGGTTACAACGAGGAGACCCTATACTAGCTACACAAACCACCATCGGCCAAGCCCTCACAGCCCAGATAGCCCAGGAAACACATGTCCTGAGCTGATCCAATGGCCAAAGCCGTCCGCTGGTCCACTGCAGTGATCTTCATGTCCTGGCGGCATCGACATGCTTAGTCTGAGGTTTGCGGCACGGAGCTTCACGGCGATGGCTGAATCTACGTGACTCTGTCTGTTGCCGGCTCAAGAAGCTGGTCCAGCACACTATTGCCGCTGACGCCATCGGAGGTCTTGCCGCCTCACGCAATCACGCGCCGTCTCGTGCAATTCGATCGAAGTTCACACTGCTTCATCTGCTGCCACCACGACTCACTTCTGAATTGTGATAGTAGTCGTGGACACAAGAGGATCGGATTCGACTCAAGTCCAGCTCACTTCTTCGACTGACAATTCGGGAGAACTTGGCTCCAGGTACATCAAAGGTACTGGGCTGTCTCCCCGTGCGAACAGACGCAGGACGGACGCATTCTGATGCATACTTCCGCAGGCTGCATGCCCTTTGGCCTGACATCTCCACGAGCCGGCCGAAGGGAGCCGCCTGCGCGAAAGACGCCAAAAACGGTGCGTAACATGTACGAGCCTGAATCTCAAGTTGCAAGAGGGTATAACGTCGCAGCTCTGGCCTCAAAGGCCAAGCGCAGCTTCGCTGGCGACGCCTCGACAGCGGCGGGAGTCTGCTTTTCTAGACCGTCTTTCTCACTGACGCGAGTGACGGGCTGACTATGCTTTGGCCAAAGGAGCCTTGGAGGTTGGGTTGGTGAAGACGCCCTGGCCCTTGGTAAACTGCTGGCACACGTCGGGCACCAGACCTTGCGACTCACAGCTGCAGCTTGCCTGCGACATCCTTCGGCTGCACTGGGTGCACTCATGAACTTCGTCCAAGGGACCACCAGTGTAGCGTAATGTGAACTTGTTGGTCATGTAGTGATTGATCAAGTTGTTGTATCCGTCCACCTCCTGAGCCGCGCGCATGTTGGCGGGAGCAAAGATCTTGCACTCGGGTTTGATCTGGATCTTGTCACGGGAGCAGATCCACTTGTTGCCGTCTCCCAGGGTGAACTCGTAAACGCCATCATCCAGCGTGATGAACACCTCTGCCCAAACTCTGACTCTGCACTGGCGGAGTGACTGGAAGTGCTGATTCGGGCCCGAGAGGCAGTTGTTCGTGGACCGTAAAGGGCCACGAGGCTCATCACCTGCACGCACCCGTACAGTCTCAATACTTCGGTTTGCAAGATCTCCCAATGGAGTCTTGCCATTACGAATGTGTAGCCTGATGGGAGGTCATTGAGTCAGAGACAGTTTCACTTTTGCAGAGACCTCGGGAGGAAAACTTTGTGCATTTTTGAAAGGGACAAAGTTGGCATACTTCCCCGAATTATTGCAGGAAAGGTGACTGCTCGAGTCTGAATCGTGAGGCAAACGATCATTGGTTTCTCCGCTAGCCGCCAAGGAGGTTCCGACAGTCACACTTCCGAGTCGTTGTTACCGGCTCATGTGCTTTCCTCAGTTTTCCCGCTGGGACAAGTTGTGATCAAGTCACGAGTCCCTCCGGTTTGCTTTCAAGTGGGCACGCGTGCGGAGGCTCATCCCAACGAAAACTTATATTGTCCGTGTTGTACGAAGATTGGAATCCAGCACAAGACTTTCATGCCCACCACGTCCCTTGACTCAGTTCCCAGCTGTCGGGACTGTTGTGTCTTGCTCTTATGGTCTGTCATGTTCGGAGTGCCTGGTCGCGGCCGGTAGCTCCAATGAGGCCAGTTGACTTATCCCAAACCCCAACGATCGTGCCGACGGCCCAGTTGTTGTCCTCAGTTGCGGTCCAACCAAGCAGGTTGACGGGTTGAAGCACACTTCTGTCCGAAGCCAAGGTTCTACAATAGAACTTCCATCCAATGGATCCCAACAGAGAACGTACTGACCATCGCTATTGGTCTGCACGATCTCTGGCTCCTCCTCGGAGGAGGCCTCATACACGTACTTGGAAGACCTGAAGTCTTACAGTGGGAGCCTTACTGCAGCTCTCTCACTCCCACAAATACAGAGCCCAGATGCTTTGCGAGGTCCCAAAGCAGGTTATCTGCGATGACATCTACCGTCAGCTGTCGGTCACCGAAAGCGTTGGATGCATCGTTGACGGTGACCAGGTTCACCCGCAAGGCCTAGCAAACAAGCATGAGACTGAGGGCGGACCAACAGAAATCCAACGTTTGTTTTGCACTCTACTCTTGACCTGTGCATGCTTGTGCGAAACACAGCAACTTTGCAAACGGAGTGCAAACGGCAACTCTTTGAGCCCATCTGCCAGGATCTACCGGTCTCTATGAAGGACCGACCGAGGGACAGCTTCACTTTGAGACTCCTGGTCATAGGTGACCGTTGCAGAGGATGCCATGCCTCCGTTATCTTCACGCACGCATCCAGCAGCTCGTTCACCATGCCCTTCAGCTTTTCGTCCTTCAGCTTGTCGGCCAGAACCTCGGTGACTCCAGTAAGCAACTACCCCCACTCAAGGTGAAGCAATGGGACCGCAGAAATTGGGACGGTCTTGGCCTATTTCCGGGATGGGTCGTCTGAGAGGGGGGTTACTCTCACAGGTTGAGAAAAGCGTCACCGTAATAACCCTCGTGGTTCTGCCTTTGAGGTCGGGACTTCCTCCAGGGTGTCGTACTTGTCCTTTGCCACGGCGTCGGTGTAAAAGGACGTGTGCGAAGCCTTCGGATCGACGTGCTTGCTCGGGCAGTCGAAACCTTCAGCTTGAGCTAAGCGCATGGCACCGTAGGCGTCATCGGCCCGACGCTGCTGCCGCGAGCACCGACGACCCGCAGCCGCAAGCCTGCCAGGCAAAGTTCACATGCAGAGACTGTCGCAGGCTGCAGGAACGTCCTCAACTGATCCCGTAGATCTGAGGCAGTGGCCCAGCAGTAGCCACCAGAGCAGCACTGGGCCCAGCTACACCCGACTTTGTGTTTCGGGTCTCTGTTCCGGTGCCAGGGAGAGCAGCACGGGGTGCAGCTTGAGGACTGCCTGTGTCATGCGCTTTTCAAGCTACACGGGTGCTCGGCGCAAGCTTCGCTACGACAGCAACAGCCTGCAGGCGCGATGAAGGCGAGTGGGCTTGCGAGCACGGCAGCCCCAATCATTGCTTTAGTTCGGGACATCGCAACGGCTGAGCGGAGGAACAACAAACGCGTCTTTCTTTCTTCGAGCCCGCCGAAGCCAGGGGTCGAGAATGCAACATGGGCGAAACGGCAAAACATTGGCAACTTAGCTGCAAGCAGAAGAGCAGAGCTCCGCAAGGTCAGGCCATCTTGACCTCGTAGCTTGCAGTGTCGCAATCTGGCTGCGCTTGCAGCCTGTTTAAGTTATTGAAGCCAATGCAAGAGTGGTCGAGCTTCTTCAGCTACTTCAGGACTTCACGCGCTCAGAGCCCCACTTCGGAGCCTGCACAAGAACGAGCACGGAATCGATTGACTCGACAATCCAAACACGACCCAACATCAGGACCGCGGTGGCACTCGATTTGGCAAATGAGAGAACATCCAAGAGCACTTTGGTTCAGGAAGCGACGCCGGGGTCTAGAAACCAGAGTCTGTCAAGCTTGTGCGAAAATCTTCAGCCCGGCGCACCGCGCAATGGGAACGATGGCAAGCACGCAAGCTGCTCAATCAATGGAGGCATAAGTATCATGAGAACCTAAACGGAGCATCGTACGGCAAATTGTATACTCTTCGCAGCTGCGGCCGGAGAGCCCTATCACGACTTGATTTCACCAAGAGGACAGACCGGATGTCACACAGAAAACTTGTTGGCTCGCAGCTCCTCCCAGACACTGCCCATCGTTTATCCAAGGCAGTGTTTGAGATCATGTGAGCTCTGATGAGACTTTGATGTGCTCTGCGCTCTAACGGACTATCACTTCTGGCTTGGTGATATAAGCTCCATGACCTTCGCCCAGCATGACACTTCAACAGCCTTTCCAGCCTTTCCCCGATTGTGCGGTCCGGCCAAGTCCATATCACGCCCCTTTGGGATGATTGCAAACTTGTTCAAGTCCGGGTGCGAGGTGAAGTAATGCATCTTGATGTGTCTCATGTTGATGGCTTTGGACATATTCCCGAACTGATAGATGTCCTTGATGTAGTTGTAGAGGTTGGGGTAGTTCATCTCAATCGTGCCCACGTTGGTCTTGAAATAAACCACGTACACAGGGTCGAATCGCACGAGGGTCATGAAGAGTCTTAGGTCCATGAAAGTGAAGGTGTCCCCACAGACATAGCGCTGTTTCGCCAAGAGGCTCTCCGCCTTCTCCAAAGCACCGGCCAGGTCCTTCACGGCCATGTCGTAGGCTTCCTGGGTTTTGGCAAAGCCACATCTGTAGACACCATTGTTGATGTTGGGATAGATCCATGCATTTGCCTCTTCAGCCACTTTGGCTAGGTGTGCTGGGAACAAATCCAACTCCGGATTCTTGGCAAACTTGTTGAACTTTGCGTTGAACATCTTCAGGATATCCATGGACTCGTTGTTAACGATTGTGCCTTCTTTCTTATCCCAGAGCACAGGTGTGCTGTACTTGCCAGCCTTGTCGTTTGACTTCTCGTACAAGTCTCTGACGAACTTGCAATTATTCACGATGTCAGCAACGAGCGCATCATCGCACTCAAATTTGCCAAATCCCAGTGAATTTGCCAGAGGCGGGTCCCCAGGGTTTCGAAACGCCCAGCCACAGTGCATGTCGCTCGGGTTCTCTGGCCGAGATCTTTGCCAGGTCGGGTGGACCACGCTGAAGCTGATGACATGCTCAAGGCCTTTGAGGTAAAGCGCCGCCAGAGCTCCGTCTGCCCACGGGCATGCAAGAGCCACCTCGCCGGCATCGGGTTGAACAAGTGACAACAACGTGGCCCCATCCACAACATGTCTACCCGCTGCCAAGCTGCATAGAGGTGGTACCGGCCCCATGCCGGTTCGAAGCGACCGCCTTCCTCAATCACATGTCGGTATGTGGCATCGGTCCTGCTGCAGCACAGATATGGCTTTTCGTATGCTGTCGCCAAGTGAAAGCTTATGCTGTCCTCTTGAAGCTGCCCTTTGCATCCACCTCATCCAGTGCTGTCCTGCAGAGCAGTGTAACATGCAGTTCGGGCATGCCGAGACCATGCAAAGAGCCAAAGAGCGATGTCTCTGCCCACTTTGTTAAAACCACTTGCTGGCACGCACATCAGCAGCAACCGGGGGAATGATAAACCTGATAAGATTGAATGCTGGACTTCTGAGCGTCGACAGATGCTTCCTCAACCGCGGCTTCTGGTGCTGTGCCTTCCTTAAGTTTGCACCGGCTATGTCAAGCCATGCCTGAAATATTCATGCCACAACATCACCAGTATCTGTAGACTTGGACACGCATGGCACGTCCATCCTCACCTCACCACACTCGCTGGCTCGCTCTTCCTTGCTTGCTTGCTGGGGGGTATGTGTCTGAACAAGAGGAGCCAGTTAGGTTCGTCAAGTTCAAAGGGGTTCTTGGTGGCTCGCAGGTTCCATGGTCCACGAACCTTGCACAGACTCCGTGGGGAACGCATGGCAGGAAGCTCACTCCTCAATGAGGCGAGGCACGCACAGAACCGAGGGGCATTCGATACGCCAGGATCCCCCGTCCCCATAACGACGCTTCGGATGTTCGGTCAGCGACCTAAACTTCCCTTGCGGGTTCGTCGTTGTCAACCGTCGGCTCTCGGGTCGCCCTCTCCTCCCTCTCACAGCCGAGGCAGCTGAAAGTAGGCATTGAATCTTCATCAGTGTTGGCCACTGGATACGGGAGCAAAAACATCAGTTGACTCCGTTCTGTGGTCCTAGGAGTGTGGATCCAGAGGCTGGAAAATCTCAAAAACATGAATCAGATGAGTAAAACAGTAAAACCGTTGGGACATGCAAAGAAAACATGAGTTGTGCATATCCAGAAATGCTTGGCATCCGTCAAGTTTGAGGTTTGAGCACTACAAAACCCTTGAGAAGAAAGCAAACATTAGTTGTGTAGCCAGGAATGCTTGACACTGGTGAAAGTTCAGATTCGCATACAAGGCAGTCGAGTTTTGCATATCCAGAAACGGTTGGCATCTGTTAAGTTTCCACACAACGAAAAGCCTTGAGAAGAAGCAGCAAATGGTTTCGAAAGAATCAGAAACGGTTGGAAGCTGTCAAATGTTAGACTTGCAAACAACAAAGCAAACAAAACATGATGAACATTTTGAGGACAACATAGCACGAAAAGCAAGAAACAAGAAGGCGTTGCTTGAATCAAAACTGAACTTTCAGCCAGAATACGCGCTTTCAGGCTCAAAACATGGGAAATTGCACAGTTGCTTGCATTCAATATGAGATGTCCCGATTAGTACAAGATTTTGTTTCTGAGACATGTTATCAGTTTTGCCTGGAACCCATGCGATTTTTCTTCACTTCAGGCGAAGCACTTGGTGCAACCAATGCGCTCTTCGGAGAACATACACATGTGTGAATCTTTTGTAGTATGCTGAAAGACGCAAGCGAAATCGCTTTGTGTGCAAATGCAGCTTCACAGGAACATTGTAATTTTATCGTGTTGAAGGAAGGGGTTGGCAAGTCCAGCTGGATGGGGATGATTGAATCATAGGAAGAAAGAGAGCACAATTCTCACAAGACACGTTGCTGTCAGACATGTTGTATTTCCTTTGATTCAACTTCTGAGGGTTTTGTTGAGGTACAAAGCCCATGGATCCAGCACCCAGGATCCAAGCCCCAAAACTCCAAAATCTGAGTCTGGAATCATAGCATGTCTAGCCGTTTCTAGCAGTGAAGCCACCATGGCCGCCCTTCGGACCCCCTCTCGACTGGTCGGCGGTTCAAAACTAAGCGGTCTTCCGACATGTGGGGACCGGCACACGTCGAAGGCGGGAGTCCGGGAGGAGAGTGGGGAGGCGTAGAAGACAGGACACCGTAGTGATACCACTTGATAAATCCATGCTCGGAGTTTAGCGAGTTGTATAGTCCTCTGTGTCATAGCCCGGCAACGCTGGGCAAAAATGGCAGAACGATTGAACGTCTGCCTGCGGTGTGCTTGAGCCACACTCTGCGCAGGATTTACGGCTTCAAGTCAACCATCCAGCACATGCCGAAGCCATGCAACTGCATGCCCAGAAACCAGAATCACTTTGCGTGCCATGCCCCACCTTCAGATAGCTAGATGCCAGCTCCGTCACCTTTGCCTCCCGTTTGGCATCTCCAAAACCCAGCAGTCGAACCTGACTCAGGGAAATTCAGGGGTGCGACACAGTGCGACTTCGTGTCTTCATGAAACTGCACATACGGTACAAAGACCTTTGAAATGGATATGCAATATGTCCATGTTTTTCCTGCTTCCTTCGAGGACGATTTCCCTTGCGCTCCTGCAGGCCCGTGGAGCATACGTATGCGGAGAAAGGGTGCCAGAATACTTCGGCAGAACGATCCGTCTTGGCTTGCCTACACCTGATTGCTGCTCGGCGCTCTGAGTAGTTCACCATGCCAGAGAACGCTGTGCTCACATGGCCTCACAAAAAGCGCGCAAACGTGAACACCTGATTTGCAACGAGGACATACACACATGCGTGGTGGCGGTCGTGGCAGCCGTGGCATGCTCGTGCTCTTCACGGCCCAGCTGCTGTCGAGAGCTTCTCGCAGCTTGACTTCCGGAGATCCTGTGCCAAATGCACCCACGCAAGAGCTGGACCAAAAAGCAACTTGACGAGCAAAAGTAGCCTGCGTCGAAGGACGTTGGGCTGTCATCGCCAGGTTCCATGTCCGGCTTCTCGGCTAACCTGCCAGCACACACGCCCCGTTCACAACTCGATCCGCGGGCGGGGCTCAAGGGTCTAAGGCACATAATTCCCTGCCTCTGCAATGCTACCTTACTATCGTTGCCATTAGCTCCACAAGTGGCTTAGCTGAGCTTCTTGACTTGCTGCCTTCAACACCTCATTTTACCATAGGGGGCGGCCTAGCTTACTTCTGACCAAATCTAAATCGCGTAGCTACCGCCAAGGACTGAGAGCTTCACATCATGGCTCCCAGCTGCTACTGCTACATCTCGAAGCGTCTCCCACCGGGCCTCAATAGGCTCTGATGCCTTCGGCCCAGCAGCGTTGACAAGAACGCCAACGCCAGATCCACCTTCACCTGAAAAAGTTCGGTGCGACACATGTGTGAATGCAAAGCCCCAAGTGCTGGCCTTTTCCGGAAGACTCGTAATGCGGGAAAGATCCATTGGCTCCTCAGGCCGCGAGTTGCACCGAAAAGCCGGCACAAAAAAGACCTCCGTTCTACAGTGCCAGGGGCCGAGCCTCCCCACTGAGAGCCTGGTGTCACTGGATGCCATCACATCACGGGCTTCAACTTGAACTATCTTGATATCAGGCAATAATCATTCAGGCCACCTCCAGCTCCTCCGACTGCCGGCGTAATGTGGCCAGGACCTGCCAATTTGCACTGCCATGTCGTGGTGTGGCATTGGGCCACCTCAACAAGCACGACAGCGACAGCAACGTGCCTCCCGATAGCCCCTGAGGCGTTTCAGCTCTGCCTGCTAGGGTCCACATGCAGTAGCCCGTTTTGCAACCGAAGGGATTTGACCTAAGAAGGGGTGTACAAAAAGAATTGTGGTTCGCACCTAAGACAAAGCTCCGTCTGTTGGGATCGCGTGCGCGGTCTTGGCAAAGACACGAATTCTACCACCTTGTCTGGCGACAAGTCCAAGACGAACCGTTTTGGGCAATGTTCTTAGGCAGTTTTTCGCATTACTACATCTTGAACCGGCTCCGTGCTCAATTAAACTACGGTTGCCGTTGTCTGAGGTCTACGATGCTCTTAAGCTAATTTCGGCTCTCACACTCGCACAGGCAGGCATGGCTTCAGGTCCGTTGAGCTTACTACTGTCACGCCATGGAGCAGACGACGAGGATAAGAGGCCGCAACAGAACAAGAAAGCACCAGCGATAAAACGCCCAAGAAAGTACGGCAAAGATAATGCTAAATGTTATCGCCATCCACTCATGGCGCACGGAGAAAGGACATGTGGCTTTGCACTCACTGCTTCAAAACGTCTCACTGCATCAGTACATCAAGATCGTGTTGCACCTAATTATTGTGTTGGTGCTGTGCCACAAAGAAACGGCATTGAAGCATAGAGCAAACACCCAAGAACCAACAGCAAAAAAAAACAAACCACTAATAGGGGGAGTTCGGAGCATGCCGTTCCATGTCTGGCCTAACCCCTACAGGTACCTGCCCCTGTCGCTGTACGCGGCGCAAGCCCAGACCCAGCATGACGGATGTCGCATGGTCCCTGACTCAATTCCATGTAGCTTCTTGGCACGGCTCTTTTGCATGCACGGCTGCACTTCGCAACGTCTCACGCATGAGTGCACATTGGCGGCATGGAGATGCTTGCTGCACAGCAATTCCGCATTTTGGACGAGCCGCATCAGGCCTGCCAAGACAAGTGGACGGACACAGAGAGAGAGAGAGAGAGAGAGAGAGAGAGAGGCCGGGCTTACAACAGCCAGTCGCAGCGCAAACTTCTACACAGACGCGAGCATGCACTTTGAATTATCGGGGCCTTGTAAGTGCGAATGACATCTGTGATGACATATCTGCAAACGGGGCAGTCAGAGACCATCTGCGCGCACCATCTGCACAGCATGTAGTGGCCACATGGGTAGAGCACCACATCGATGACCTCAACCAGTTTTTGCACACTTTGGATGCAAGTAACGGCCTAATGGTTGACAACACTTCGTCAAGGTCAACTTCGATTGCGGCTGCAAGGCTGCATCGTAGCAGATCTTGCAGAGATCTTCATCTCGCTGCTCATCCTGCTGTTCTGCTCCTTAGTGCAGTACAGAGCAGCTGAAACAAGGCCAGAAGCCAGGCAGACTTGATATTGGACCTTGCATGTTCTGAAGCTAGCTTGTCGCATGCTCCGCCTGGCCCGTATCTCTCCCATGCCGTCTTCTTAACCCTTCCAATGCTACCCAGCGGCCTTGTCGCTGCTGCTGCAGTGTGTAAGCAGTTTGCGCTCGTGAGTTTCGCATGCGCTGCTGCAAAGAAGAGAGCTCTCTCTCCTGCATGTCGAAGACTCGAGCGTCCTGGTGCACAGCTTCTCTGCAACACAAGACAGCGACCCGCGGTCTGAAACCTGGCTTCCCTGCAGGTCGTTGACGGTCCCCGCCGATCTTCTGGCAGAACCTCGATTACGAGGCACTTCAATCCGGTCTCAGTTGTACAGCACCTAGTTTCTGGCATGCCTTCTGCCACCCGTCGCCGCGAAGATGTCAAACGCCGTGCATATTCTTCTGGCGAGAGCGACTGCCTTTCAAGTACAGAGCATTCTGGCTACGTGCCGGCTATCTGATGAAGAGAACCATGCCTCGCGTCACCCTCCAGCATGGGCTCCCATCTGAGCTGAGACTCCTGTCAAGCTGGCAGCGACTGCTCACGCATCTAGCTCGCAGAAGCATAGCGTCAGTTCACCGGTTCAGCTGAAGCACCGTAGGCATTGCTGCCGGTGCCGCAACTTCAGCATCATCACCTGAGGCTGGCCGGCCATGCTCAGTGGGCAGTGCACACACACACACACACACACACGTTTGCTGGCCAAGGCTCTCAGCTCTGGCTCTTCAGCAGAGCTGGGTGAGGTGGGGAAGCGCGTGTGGTCCAATCTGTCCAAGGCTGAAGGCAAAGCCTCGCCCGGAACGTCCTCTGCTCCGGTATTCTCGCACGGACAGCGCACATCGCTGTGACAACAGATCGCCAAATGGCTTCTTCACACGCCCCTCGAATCTGCAACGGCTTCACTGAAAAAATCTATGTGTTAATGGATGCTTCAAGCAACTTCCATGGGCGGGGGCTCGACGACCTCAGCTTTGAATACATGAAACTCAAACCTGTGTGCTTGGCTGGTCTAGTGGCACAACGCTGCCTAGACAAGCGGGCCCATGGAATCAAACAGGTGCATGGCATAGATTTGCCCAAGCACGTGGAAGAGCGTAGATCCGACTTTGAAAAGGTCGCCAATTCGAAGCAAATACCGCCTGGATGGCTGGCCTTGTCTGCAGCAAACGAGGATGCAATTCCCACAACACTCGCGAAAAATCCAGAACAACCAAGGTTGTCAGAGGGACGAAGCTTTACAAAGCTTCAAATTGGACCATTCAAGCAAATGGTCACTGTTCTGTGGTTTTCGCTTTCCTGTACAATGCGGAGCAAGCATCCATCTGCGGCCAAGCGTAGCCACGTGCGATTCGTGGAGTACTCGTCATCCAAGATGAAACCATGGTCGGGGACCGGGCGAACCTTCAAAGGTTCAAAAATCAGCTACAGCTCTAACTGCCGCACTGCACCGCACCTTGCAGTGGAATGCAGAGATCTGAGGATCTCTGATGCAAAGTCCGTTTCCAGCCTCGCTGTATGTGACTAAAAAGATGGATACCGCGAGGTCACAGCCATCTCTGCTGTCTTGCGTTTTTTGTTTGGGTTCTGTCTTCTTCCATCTGCCTTAAAGGACCCAACCCGCCGCAGGTGGAAGTCCTCTCTCCCTTTCCTTCTCGCTCTCTCTTGATTGCTTGCTTGCTTGCTTGTGCAACGTGTGCCGTGCGAGTTGAGCATAGTTGAACCCTCGCCCCCCTTACACGTGTCTGAAGTCGGTGTGCGACTGACTTTGGGCTGATCGCCACTTCTCTCTCTCTCTCTCTCTCTCTCTCTCTCTCGCCCACTCTCTCTCTCTCTCTCTCTCTACCGGGCGTAGAGGAAGGGCCAGCGTCCAGGGCCCCCCCCCTGTGCGAGTCCGCACACCCGCGTTGGTTTCATCCCCCGTCGGTTTGACTGAAAGGGGCTCGGCTTTCTTCGGCTTTACTGGTAAAAAGAGAAGGCCAGTATGTGTTCCCCCCCAGGATCAAAAGTAACTAGAGCAGACATGCGAAACTTATACTGGCCTTCTCCGGGGGCAAGAGGAAAAGGCATGCCGTCCCCGGTGGCTTCGCACAGGCAACTCTGAAACGTCGTGGTCGGAATCATACTGAATTGGTGCCTCTTGTCCCCCGAATTCAGTTGCGGTAGGTGTGCTAAAAAGAACCTGGGATTAGGGCTTGTGTCCAGCCCGTTGAGTGAGGGTTTGCCTGAGTAGGGCCATGTCGGCCCGCACAAAGAATTCACACCAAGTCGCAGCTTTGCTGGTACTTTCAGGCATACGGTGAGGTCACATTGAAAGACCGAAGGTATGTGCATGTGCGAGACAGCAAGGGGCATTAGGGGAACGAGGGCGGGTCAAAGTTCGAGAAACCCAACGCCCCCGAAGAAAACACAAAAGGACACATCCCCCCCGCTCGCTCCCTCAAAACTTTTTACACACGCCTTCACTCACTTTGTTCAGTATCGTCGTTCACAGCTGGCCCGCATGTGTTGTTGGACTCGCTGCACTGCCCTCCATCTTGCATTCGGCCGCAGGTTGGCTCTCAAGGGGCTTCGGCTTGGTGAGCGAGGTCTTTGTGCCCCCGCTGCTGAGCTTGACTCGGCCGTGGACTGTGTCGTCGTTCCCCCGAGAGCCAGGTTGGCGTCGTCTTGGTCAGTGCGGTCATCGTGGCTGTCGCTTCCCCAGTCCGGTGCATCGTCGAGAAGGTCTGTCTCCCCCACTGTTGGGAGTTGCCCTCCCCCCACTGTCGCACATGACTGGCTTGACCGGCTCGGTTCCTCCTCTGGCTTGCTCTTCTTGTCTTTACGTTCTGCTGTATCTCCACGCTGGTGACGGTCTTTCTTTTCTTTTTTGGCTTTCTTGAGCACCTCCTTTTTCCCCTTCTTGGTCTTCTCGGTCTCCTTCTTCTTGGCCTTCTTGTGCACCGTCTTCTCCCCCTTCGCGTTCCTCTCGAGCTTGGGCTTCTCTGGCTCGTCCCCCTCGCGCGTCTGGAAGACACGTTTCGCTTGGGACAGAAGTGGGGCGACTTTCCACGGAAATCTCCCCACGTATATCCGCAGCTCCTCTTCCACACGTGGGTTGTGTTTTCCCACCAGCTCCACCAGCTTGTCGGCATTTCTGCCGGTGGCTCGCCTTTCGTTGTGTCGTTGCTGGTAGCATTTGTAGTCGGCGACCTCGTCCTCAAGGAGTGGTTCCCCCGTCGCCCAGTCCACGTATTGCTGGGAACGCCACAGGAAGTGGATATCTCTTCCGATCCACCGGTCCAAAGGCCCTGGCTCATATAGCAACGCCAGGCCACCTTCCGTCTCGAAGCGGACGTAGTTTGCCCATGGCTTGCCGCTTCCCCCGCCGTCGGCATCATCAGGGTTGCGGGTGCCTCCCCCGCCATCGGCGTCTTCAGGGTTGCGACTCTGTACCAGAATTTTCTGCGCAGGTGAAGGTGCCGTTGGCGACCATGGTCTTGTAGCAACCTTCCCCCGGCTCGTGAGCTTTGTGGCAGAAGGGTCCCTGCAGGCATGCTTTGCAGGTCACCCCCATCTCCTTGAGTACCTCAGCCAGTTTGCATTGTTCCTCCCAAGTGGTGTTAACTTTGGCTGGCTTCGCAGATGGAGACCTTGACTGTCGTCTCCCCCTCTGCTTGTCCCTCCCCCCGGCTGTGGGGTTGCTTGAAGAGCTTGCCATCGAAGTAGACATGTGGACTCAAGCAATGCTGGGAAAGACAGGAGGGCTCTCCTGGAGCCACAGTCCAGGCCAACCCCCTGTCTCCCCCCCCGGCAAAGGGGCGTTACAGACCCCGAAGCGCAGGTGCATTACTTGAGCCAAAATTCTCTCTCTCTCTCTCTCTCTCTCTCTCTCGCTCGCTCGCTCGCTCGCATCCGGGGCAAGGTCCGAAGACCCGGGCCGAGGCCCCCCCCTCCCTGTTTTGTTTGTGGGAGAGGGCTTTGGGGTCGAGTGCTTGGGGTTGCTTCCCCCCGGTCGGTTCGGTAGGTAGAGATCGCCTGGTGATAGAACCCCCCCAACCCTGTACTTTAGCCCGCATCCCGGCCTCGTCCCCGCGCCCTCTAAGGCTACGTCCTTAGTACCTACACCAGGCGATTTCCCCCCCGTAAGACCTACGTTTCTTAGCGGCTCCCCTTTCTAGCATACAAAGCAACAACTGAGGATCATGCCATAAATCATCACAGGATCACGGTTCAGTATTGTGTTCGGGTGAGCCGCTCTGGAACCTCCCCCCTTCTTCCTCCAACCAACAAGCCAACATACGAGTAAATGCAGTGACGAGTACAGGGAGGAGTTCCTTTTACTAGTGGTACTGTCAGGCTCGGTTCCCCCTTCGGCAAGAAGCGTAGTTGAAGCACGTAAGCTGGTACTACATCACGTGTTGCGGGCCCCGGCCTGTGCTGTTCCCCCCTGTGTTAGATGGGGCCATGTCTATCGAAAAAGGCCGCATGCATGCGGCGTCGGCGGTGCGAGGCCGGGCTGGAATCGGAGGAGTCCCCCTCTTCCTCATTGCTCGGTCGGGTAGTCGGTGGTCTCGCTGTTCCCCCTCTGTCTCCCCACGGCACTGTCTCTGCGTCGGCTGAGTCCACGTCGGGCGCTGTCGGGAGTGGTAGCGTTGGCATTGCTTCCACTTCCCCCAGATCTGCAAGGAAACTATCTGTTTCCAGGGCGGCCACTTCGTCTTCCGTGACCCCATGCAGGCCTAGCCACTTTCTTTTGGTGCCCGTTGTTCTGGGCGGCTCCCCCATGTCGACATCCATGTTGGCCTCTGCCTCGGTCTTCTCGTTCTTGTCCCCCTTCTCTTCGGTCTGGGTCTCATCGTGCACCGCGTGTGTCCCCCCGAAGTACGCCTGTTGCTATGCGTCCAGGGCCGAGAGTGTGTGGATGGCTGCGCCAATGGTGTCTTCCCCCAGTAGCGGGACCACTTCTCGCAAACGGCTCGCTGCCGCCATGAGCCGCGTTGCCGTACCGTGTAGCTGGCTGGTACGCGCTGTCCACTCTTTCGTGCTTGGCTCCGCCAGCGCAACCACATCGGCTGGGTGTGCTGTATGCTCCCCCGCGGCTGGCGTTTGGTCCGCTCTGCATCCTTGGCGTTGTTCCCCCATGGCTGTCGCTGGCAACACTGTTTCCTGCAGCTGGGTCCACCATCTCAGCGTGTTCCAAGAACGGTCTCCCCCCAGCGCTGGTAGGATGGCTTCGTCCAGCATTTTGTAGGCAGCTTTGGCCGCTTCAATGGCCCGTTGCCTGGCTTCCCCTGGCACTTCGTCTGCCATGGGTTCGCGGAGCTCTTCTGCCCCCATGCCACAGAGGTTGCGAACCGAGCTGAGGTCTGCGCAAACTCTTCGTTGGTAAGGCCTTCTCCCCTTCTTACTCGCATGCTGGTAATCTGGTTGAAGGCCTCGCGCAACGCCCCGCAGTCTGCTTCATGAGGTAGTTCCCCTCGTTGTGGCATTGCCCTCGTTGCTGCGCTTGGTTGAGCCAACATGGCCAGGGCAATGGAGCATATGTTGGCAACGATTTGCCCCTCTGGTTCTCTCATCGTCTCTGTGATCTCTTGTGTCAGCTGAATCTGTGCTCTGGCTGTGGCTGCTGCCAGTGCTCCCCTCAGACTGGCTATCATGCTGGTGGCTGCAGGTGGTGCTTCGGAGCTGCTGGCTGCTGTCGTGTGGTTGGGCTTGTTTGTTCTGCCCCTCCTTCTTCCCCCTCCTGCTGGGGTCCTTCTGCGCCGTCTGACCAGCCCGAAGTTCTCCTCGTCCGTTGCCGTTCCGTTGAGGTAATTTTCGTCTTCCTCTGGGTGGCTGCAGTCCTGTGGTGTTGTAGTGGTAGTGCTTGTGGTGCTGGAGGTCGTGGTGGCCACAGGTGGCAGTTGCCACATTTCTGTGTGGTCGCTCTCTCTCTCTCTCTCTCTCTCTCTCCTGGGCATGAGGGCGGGTCAGCGCCCTCGGGCCAAAGGCCCCCCCGTCGTGTTGACAGGCGTGAGGGGTGAGATACGAATGTGAAGCACTGTCTAGGCTAAAGCCATAAAGTGTACGATAAAAGAGACAGTGTTTCAACATTCTCCTCAGACACATGCAGAAGCTTTTGCTTCTATCCCCCTTTTGACATGAGCAGCAATGAAGTAAGATCAGTGGTTGTCGGGAGATAGAAGACACAGCTCAAGTCCCCCTGTATTTTCGTCTTACATGTATCTGGGGCACTATAGACAATGAGGAGATAAAACTAAAAGGCCGTGGAATATGACATCCTAAGCCGAATCATGTGCCTGATCAGCAACCCCCGATGTGAGTCCCTGGGGAGGTTTTGTATGAAACAACGGCACAGCGAAAGCAAAAGAACATAGCAGACCTAAGGGCAACAACCTGAGCACTTCATTCTCCCCCGGGACTCTTTGCAAGGGTGCTCACAGTTTAGATACACATCCGACGAGTTCACAGGGACACACACAAATGCCCTTTCGGCTTTTGCTTTACAGTGCTCGTTTTGTACGCGAACTCACTGCCTACCATCTACATTTGTACTTGCCTTGTTTTAAGATCATGGGTTTCCTGTCTCGAAGCAACAACACGGTAGCACTTTGGACTAGGTGGCGGTATCACGTGTATAACAATCACTCCCCCCCGGATCTTTTGATCTCAGAGATCCTTCACAAGGCGATCTTGCTACCAACTTGCTCCCTAAACAAATGTTAAATATAGGCTTTTGCGAGGTTCGAGCTCAGGTTCGGAAGGGCTTCACTGCAAGCAACAAGGACACAGCTCTACCTAGAAGGCCTATAGGTCAAAGCATGTGTATATCAATGTTCACCTCTTCCCCCGAGCTTCAAGCGGAAAACAAGAAGTGAGCTCGTGCTTACCTTTGTCGAATCAAGGATTTCGACACGGTGACTGCGAAGTTCGAAGGGACCTCCGATTGAAAAACAAGGACACAGCCATACCTAGAGCACCCTACTGGCAATAACATCTCTCTCTCTCTCTCTTTCTCTCTCTCTCTTGCTTGCTTGCTTGCTTGCTTGCTTGCTGAGGGGCGTGGGCCTCCGGGGAGACCCTGGCCCGTAGGCCTACCCCCACAACGGTTCGCGGCGGTCTGTCTTCAAGGCCCCTTCCGGGGATGAGCTCTTCTTTATTCCGCTGGGCTTGAAGGGCGTGCTAGGCCCTTCGGCCACATGGGCCCCCCATATGTTATGGGGCTTTGTGGAAGGGTGTGACAAGACAGTGAGTCCCCCTGACACGTAGGCGAAGTATATTGGTCTCTAAACTATCAGGGTTCCTCAACTGTTTTGTTCGACACATGCAAGTTCAATTACAGCAACTGTGTCCCCCGTCATAACAAGTATCAACTGCGAAAACAAACACACGGGTATATCAACTTTAGCTGCAAGAGAACAACTGCTAGTCACACATACGCATACTCTAGGGGAGTCTTTGACCGCTCCACGGTCGCAAGGTTAAATCACCACGATATCGGTGCCATGTTCCCCTACCATCACAGTGAGACAGCATGCCGATTATGACTCAACACCTATCAAGGAGTAACTGTGTATGGCACCGTTTTCAGCTTCCGACATGGCTGAGGATTTGTTGTGGGTGTTTTGGAGCGTGTGATCTTGGGGCCTTTCGAAAGCAATCAAGCGTATCGACATCTATAACACAGCATGCAGTATCGTCGCAAGCCCCTGGCCATAAGATCACCGAGGACACGCTCAAAAGTCTCTACCATCTTTCAAGGTCGAGGTTTGTTTGTGTGTCCCCCGAAGTCATATTTCACAGCGTAGATAAACGGATGAGCTCTCTCTCTCTCTCTCTCGTTCGGGCATAGGGGTCGGTCAAGACCCCCGGGCATCTTGCCCACCCGATATGATTTATCGGGTTTGTTTGGGGGGTGAAAGTCAAATGTAGACCCCGGTGCAAGCTAAAGCCATAAAGTTTAAGATGACGGATTACCGGGATCGTACATTTTCAGTCCACACGTGCACAACTGCAGGTTCCCCCATTGGAAGAAAGAAGGATACTATCCAAGACTCGCCCCTAGTAAAATAAAGATGTGGGTTCACCACAGTTGGTTTAATCCCCCGCTTAATGCATCAAGCGAAAGCGAATTTCTCGGAATCGCGGGTTCATTTGGATCAGCATCCACAGCTCCACTAAAGTACCGGTTAATGCTCAATCCCCCTCGCGACTTCGCAGCAAGAAAAGGAATCTGTGGTTCTTTTGGATCACAGTCTTGTTGAGGACTAAGAGCCTAGCGCCAGGTATTACAGTAGGGGGAAGAGGTAATGGTTTTGTGACTGTTTGTTAAAGTTGCAGTCCAGGGATGTGTGGGGTCATCGGCCTTGTAAAAACAACAATGCGCAGTCAAAGGATGAGCTCTCTCTCTCTCTCTCTCTCTCTCTCTCTCTCTCTCTCCTCTCCTTCTGGCAAATATTTCTCTTGGCGAGCCGGAAACCAAGATGATACTGTTTCAAGAAAATTAACAGCTTCTCAGAATAATCCTCACTGATATCTTTTTTTGTATCTAAATATTTTGTTACTTATATCTCTCGATCTTCATGTAAATCTTCAGTTTCACTTTCATACCTTTTCAGTTCTTCTTCTCGTGTCTCCTTCATTCATGTCTCACGCAGTATTTATAATCATAAATGTTATATGTTATTTTCTCGTCAAGCCACTTGTCTCCTAAGCCCCCTGAACCTTCATAAATATTACTATGAAAACTCATGTGGTGTCAAATGTGCTATTCTGAACGTGACACACAATTGTCAACTATCATTTCACCTAACTCGGGATTTCTAAACACGCGTTATCTAATCGGTCATCTCTGTTCACCGAAAAAGTCGCAAGAAAGAACTTATACACTTGCTGATAATGGTGAAAATAGCCACGCAGAACATCTTTGTAAGGCTCCTTTCTCCTCTGTGCCATGTGTAAACATCATACGTGCCTAAGTTCTAGTACATTCGCTTCATCTCACAATGCATTTCAATTTTGTACTCGTTCTTGTCGATGTTTTTCTTACTGGTTCGCGAACCTCGGAATATTCGGGATAATTCGTAGGATTCCGTGAAAAAATGAATACATGTCATCATCCAATAATAAGAAAACTAGTTTACACCGCTTACCACGGCAATAACAGTTCGCAACCAAATATTTAAGCACGATGTATGGCATCACGTTTGCCTAGTAATATGTGCTGTTTGTTCTTAAATTCACTACATGAAATACAATGTTGAAGTTATTAACATGGCTATTTCACGGCAAAGCACATATGCCCTATGTTTCATCCTCACTCACTTTCATATTCACCACCGGGCATCTCTGAATATTATATGCCGCCTTGTCTTTAGGCCTTCGTCTCTTAAAGCCACTCTAAATGGTCTGCTATAACATTGTACTGAATCATAGTTAACTCAATGTTTTACATCTCATATGCACGCGAACACATATTGTATTCAACTTACAATCTCTCTTGCCTTGTGTTTAAACTCTGACATGGTCCAGTGCAACCGAATTTCATATTTCTCCTGCCTTCAATGGTATTCGTTGTCGTTATGTCATTTTCCGTTGCTGCTCTGGCTTCCTGATGACAGCGTTGTCTTTTACATCTACAAGGAATACAGGATATACCCTTTGTATTGATTAATATGACACCCTCATCCACAGAAGTCTTGCTACTGTCTCTCCGTCCGTGTCTGGCTGTGTCGGTCTGTATCTGTCTGTGTCTGTCTGGTGTCTGTCTACGCCTGTCTGTCTCTGCCTCTCTCTCTCTGTCTGTCTCTGTCGGTTTCTTTCTGTCTCTGTCTGTCTCTCTGTCTCTCCTGTGTTGTCTCTGTTTGTTTGTGTCCGTCTGTCTCTCTGTCTCTCACAGCCTCTCTGCCTCCGTCTGCCTCTGTCTGTCTCTCTGCCCGTGGCTGTATATGTGTGTACCGCGATGTGCATGTGCATCTATTTGTACGTGTTTCTGTGTAGGCCTATGCACACGTGTAGTAGTTTGTACATGGCGCAGACAGGCAGAAACAAACACTCGCATGCGACAAACACGGAAGCCCACCTGCATGTGCATATGTGCTGGATCATCGCATTATCATGCCTTACTGGCAGCATGGCAGGGTGCCTCTCTGCCAATAGCGAGGCCTTGCGGAGGCACCATCGCACTGATGTCCTGCTAGGTGGATGCTCACAACAGCAGGTTGTTAGGCTAGGTCGTCCTTGTCAGGGCCCTCTGTTGCGAGCAGCGTGCAGCAATCCCCTTCAATATACACGGTCAGCTCCGTGGTACCAAGCCTGACTGAACCAGAATCGAGGTGAGGCAGCGCAGTTACAGTGCAAGCAAGAATTTGCCATCGACTTCATGACACGAACACCGTCACAACTTAGACGAGAAAACTGAATAGATGGGTCAAGGAGCCCTACCCCTACCCAAAAGCGATTTCCGGCCCAAGTTGCTAAATGCCAATGATCCCACATTACACAAACTGTTTTTTCTGCTCGAGCGGCTGGATAATCATCTGATGGTCCAACGGCAATTCTTCCCGGACCATAAGAAAGGTGCCAGTGGTGCTTCCGACATCTTGCAGGAGGTACTGCCCGCTGCGGTCTCGGAGAATCAAGAAATGCCGTCTTGACCTGCACTCGAGCCGAAACCTGTCGCTGTAAAGCTGGCACAAGCACAGCCCAGGCACACATAGTTCTCCGAGAGCACGATTCCGTTGGAAGCGCAGTGGCGGCCACCAGTGACCTTTGTAGCAGATGTCGCAAACCGCAACACACAAAGACTCACACCTCCTATAGATATATATATATGTATATATATATATATATGTATATATATGCATATATGTATATATGTAGTTGCTGTCAAAATCAACAGGCCAAGTCAGAACACTTCACACTATGGCAATGTGTCAGCTTCCATGGATTGCACAAGCTCGCATGCAATCGAAGGGCGCCCCCACTACCCACCAAAAAGACACGGCCAGCCACAGGGCCCTCAATCGCGTGCAGCGCAAGGCCGGATTCGAGGCCGCTTCCTTGATGGAAACACCTGCACGGTATGCGGAAAACATGCAAGTTTACAAGTATACAAAAACTAGCAAGTGCGATGGGTAGATGATCACATTAACTACATGGATTTAACAGAAGCAAAAACAGATATGCTGCTTCGGGAGTGGTGTGCACTAGATCTTAGCAAGACTTGGAAACGATTACCCATCACCCCAATGTGCAACCTGCGTCTCGCTATGAGTGCCGGAAGCTTCTAGATTCTACACCTGAGGCGGGCAGTGCGCGTCTATCACACACACACAGAAAAAGACACACACACACACACAACACCGACAGACACACATCCAAAACACAGAGACACAGGCACACAGAGACACACGCAGATAGACGCACTGACACGCACAACTCACACACACACACACACACCGACACATGAACACACATGCATACAGAAATGGTATAGTAATCACGTATTTATGTATGATGGCGTGCGCGTGCATGTCTGCATGTATGTGTGCACACTATGCCAGTACAAACACGTCTCTACATCTGTACGTGTGTCGTGCGCGTATACACGCGAGCGACGGCTGTGTACTACGATGTCATGCGGAAGAAGCATATCGCGAACCCGAGACGTGTCGTTTTGCGTTCTGTCGGGTTTCCCACCTGAGTGGCTCCACAGCAGAGTCGAGAACGCGCTGCTGCGCCGGGTCGGTGACACCTAATTCAGCCTGCCAGGTCAACATGGCGCAGAATCATGGCTGTCATCATCTGCACCGACATTCGACTCCTACAATCTCCGACACACCGGATCACACCCGCGACAAGTCACCCAGGCAGAGTCCGCCCCGAGCTGCAGCAGGAGCCGACCATCCACGTTGCGAGACGCAAAGGCTTCCACGTGCTCACCTCCGCATTGGACTATGGATCCCATTGGCAGACTGCAGACATCTTATGTATCTTTCTCCGCTTCTTGGACAGTTTTTTGCACAACCACCTGATCCCACAAGCGTTCGTTGGATTGAGTCTGCTGAACTCACTTGACGTGAGCTTCCTGACTTAGATCTAAGTGTTGCTAGAAGTCTTGAAACATCTTTCAACCATGGCGTAAGACAGGCGTTGGAGAGCGCGGCCTATGCCCAGCCAGTGCAGCCAAACGCTGATATCCTCCACTGTCCACGACCGGGGGTCCTCGTGCAGCTTGGCTTCGTGTAATTACTCAACATCCCGAACTGTGCTCGACCCATCTCGACCCCTCTTTCCTCTATCACGGCTATGCTGAACCACATCACATACAGGTGTCCTTGATGAGGGCTGCTGGGACGTCCAGCGACAGGGAGTTTGGTGGCATCCGCGACTCCTTGCGTGCTCAGCCAGCTGCGACGGTTTCATTTATTTGAGTCTTCCATTGTCACTCGATCATTGCCGCATAGAGAGCTATCGAGCTCGAGGCCGCGGCAAGGCACAGGGCAAGGCACAGGTCTTGGGCAAAAGCCCGACCTAACGGTGGCTATGCCAGCTCGGCCATACTTGCAGGGCCGGGCCCGGCCAACGAAATGTACGGTAGCCATGATGATGCTGATGTACTCTGATGTACTCTGTACTTCCGCACTCAAAGGTGAAGCTGCAGGCTCAGGGCAGGGGTGGGGTGGGGCGGGGTGAGTCACGCGGTGGGGTTCTTGTTGTTGAAGATTTACCCGCACTGATACTCCGGCCAGCCTGCCTACGCCCTTACCAAGAGATAGAAACGAAAGACTCGCTGCACTAGCATGAGTCTAGTTGAGGCATAGCCACCATGAAAATCACGCCAAATGTTCGAACTCGAGCCAACGGCCGCATCCATACAAAGTTCGATCCTAGATTGACAACTCGTGACATGTTGAGGAGCCGTACCCAGGAGGCTGCAGCCAGTGACGAGAAGCGAACAACGTCGTCACGCACACACCCTCGTCACTCTCCTCATCAGTGCCTCATCCTTCTGAGTCAACTCTGGTGGAAGTTCCTCGGACCTCTGTTCCGGCACGGCCTCGGACGATTGTACTTCGCTTGACAGAAAGCGCGGAATCGCGAGCTCAAGGCAACCGGGGCCCGGCACCGTATCCTCGGGAAGCAGACGGAGGCGCACGTCGACAAACTGTGAAAGCAGGGTGGCGGTGGCAGTTTTCGCTCAAATCCAAAGCTGTGATGACGTCCCCTTCACGCTCGTCACAGCCTCCGCTTCACGCCGTACTGCCAGCCACTCACAGCCAGGCGCAGAGCCGTGGCTTTGAAGAGGGGCTGCCTTGTTGTTGTCTTCTATGCAGCACAAGGATCTTTAGTCACATGCCACCATAACAACTACTCGCTCCTGAGACGGCACGGTGTAAATGCTTTCCTCAAGCTCCAGAGTGCCAAAGCGAGAAAACCGTATCACGGCTGCTACTGTGAGTTGCACTCGAATGATGCCAACACGAGGGGTATTGAAACTCGAGACTGCTCCTGAAACCCAATCACCTTGTAGAGATGATTGCATCCATTGTCTCACCGCTATGACACTACACGACTCACCATGACTCTATGACTACATGCTTATCGAAGGACACATGTGCAGATGACACCGTTTTTTGTGTCGCATGCCATTATATTGCACGTACATGGCCGATTATCGCTAGCATGATTTCCAGGAACGGGTTTGCTGCCTGGATGAGAAATATCGTCGCTCCTGCTGCCTCCGAGCCTAGCATGCAGCATGCACACGGTGAAATTCGTGGGCGGCTTGTGCTGCCGCGCTTGCGCAATGCAGCCACAACAACACCAGTGACTGAACGCGGTATGCAAGCTCCCGCACAGTTTGGGAATGTCAAGCATGATCGAAAACAACGCCTCTGGTGCACAGTGTGGTATAATGCACCTTCTCGATGCCTGTGGCCTGAGGTCCTGCCGTTGTCAAGCTGCCGTTGTCACTTGTCACCTCGTCTTTGAGCATGGGACGGCATGCCAACGTTTGCGCTCGGGTGTTGAAGGGTGATGCCGCTGAATTCTCGACACCGCGCTGGGATTACAATGGTGATTCCACACGCTGGAACATTGTATGCAGCGCCCATCGCGTGCGGCGTGCATTATGTCTTGCTTCTTGAGGAGTGGCCAACGAAGAAACAGTCTTGAGCTTCATGACATCAGTCATGAGTGAATAAGTTTGGTCGACTGCCCACAACACAACCCTCAGCTGCACCCCATTCTTGAGGCCTGACCTGCTCCAGCAGCTGCCGGACATCACCTGGGGTCTGCCCCGGGGCAAGGTCCTCAACTTGCAGACACATCTTCGCACACGACATCTGTCAAGGCCGACATCGTACCACAACGCTCGCTCCTGCAAGCAGGCTGCAAATTTCGGCGCGTCTCCGCCAGGGCTTGAGAGGGCTGGCACAGACAGGATGTGCAGAATGCCCCAGCTGCGAGCATCATGAAGGTGCGTGTGGCCCCTCATTTGTCATCATGTTGCATTCATCTGTATTGGAAGGTCGGGCCGTGCAACATGAATGGATCTTATTGGATACGACGAGAACCCAGAGATTGGAAGGCTGCAGCATGCCAGCATCCACGACCCAGACACAGCATTCCCGATGCTCTGAACTATGCCTGCCTCCAAGCCAGGAGACCACTCCTTCTCACAAGTGCGCACACATGAGCGTTGAGTACTGTAAAACTTCCGACCATGCAGTAGTCATGGATGGTTTGGGCTCTCGCGACGCGGACTCTGCAGGCGAGGCTGTTCGGCTGAAGGGGTGGACTCGTTGAATACTTTGGGGGGTCGTTACTAAGAAGTCTGAACAGTTGTCTGTTAGATTTGGCTTGCTTCCCGTCTAACAACAGTCACAAGAGTCGCAATGGAAACAATACTAGATGCGCACGGTGGCAGAAGCAGCAGCCGGCGTTGTCGTAATAGTAGTAGTAGTAGTAGTAGTAGTAGTAGTAGTAGTAGTAGTAGTAGTAGTAGTAGTAGGTGTCATCGTCGTCGTCGTAGCAGTAGCAGTAGCAGTAGCAGTAGCAGTAGCAGCAGCAGGAGCAGGAGCAGGAGCCGGAGCCGGAGCAGGAGCAGGAGCAGGAGCAGCAGCAGCAGCAAGGGCAGCAGCAGCAGCAGTGGCAGTGGCAGTGGCAGTAGCAGTAGCAGTAGCAGTAGCAGCAGCAATAGCAGTAGCAGTAGCAGTAGCAGTAGCAGTAGCAGTAGCAGTAGCAGTAGGAGTCGGAGTAACTTAGCAGTAGTAGTCGTCGGCGTCGTCGTAGTCGTAGTAATAGTCGTAGTAGTAGTAGTAGTAGTAGTAGTAGTAGTAGTCGTAGTCACCCACCTGGCACACCTGTGGCAGCTCCGCGGGGACTTGAGGTTTGCAAGTCACGACGGGATCAACTATGCTGAAACACACCCAACACAGAAGTTAAGGCCACGAAAGACAAGCTGACCCCGTCGATCCGGAACACACTACCGCTTCTACGCAGCTCTACTCCAATACCTGCATGTACAAACTAATTAAAACGCAAAGCAAGGTGATTACAGTACGGCGCTCATCAAAATTCCAAGACCTAAGTCCTTTGTCCCCAATTCCTATGCACAGTTCTCATGCAAAGTCATATGAATTCGTTCGTATCCACAAGCTTGCTCTTTCGTGCATCAAGGATACTACGGAGTAAAGCCAGCACTACGCATACACATCCTATACAGGTTCCCCTCAGGTACTAGGGCTTCTCAGACTGTTAGCCGTGGACAGGACATGCGAGACAAGGCAGTCGCCAGAGCGGCTCTGCATTAGTGTCGGCTGTCCCAAGATTCAGTTGATGCCGTTCAGGGGGGGATCCACCGCCGAGCCCACCATGTTCTGCCAGAGGTTTCATGTAGCCCTGCGTCCGCGCTCGTAGCAGCAGCGTGTCAGTGGGCCTCCAGCCAGAGCACGGCGAATCTGTTTTGCGACCCTCCGCATCTGCTCATCTTGTTCACCCACTGTGCACAGCTCTGCCTCTCGTCTCTGTCTCAGTCCCGTGTAGTGTCACCGCTTGGGGACCTAGCGAGCATCAGCGCACTCCCGTTGCGGTGTGTGTCGGCTCGCCGATGAGGCGAAACAACTTTGCCGTAGTCTGGGGCTCCCACTCTTTGGGCCTTCATCCACAGTAGGGTGCAGCAGCACGGAGTCTGTGGTTCAGAAGTTCGGCATCGGCACCGGTGCTTTTGCACTCATACAAGTTGAAGACGCTGTCATAGCTGTAGAGCCCCCAAAAGGCTTGTTCAGCTGAGGGCTTTTTTGACAGCTTGAGGTCAACGTCCTATGTTCAGCCGATCAGTTGGGTTGCCAGACAGGAAGGCGCAGGAAACCATGGCAGTCGTTCAGGCATGATACTCGGCTTTCAGGTTCCCGGGCTCAAGACCAACCGATGAAATAGGTTAAGAAACTAAACCGCAGGAAAACCCCGGAAAGGCTGTATTCGTGACTTCGTCTCGTCCTTGCAGGTGTCTTGCACACTTGCGGTTGGTTTGAAGACAGACAAAGGACGACGCAACAGACCAGTGGAGGGAGAAAGGCAGACAGGCAGTGGCACAGTGCAGTGAGACAAGGCAAGGGCATGCAGGCAAGGAGAAGGGAAGGCAGTGCAGGGCATGCAGAAATAAATAAGAATTCGAAAGTAGGGGCAACAGCGCGGCTTCCCAGACCAAGTGTTTCCTGGGCAGTGCAGGGCACTCTCTGCTTCCAGGCATCCCATCACCCACGGGCACCACCAACGAGGACCACGAAACTCAACCAACACCTCAAGACTCCCTCAGCATCTCATGGCAACACCTCGACGAGAACCACGAGACGACATCCGAGTCATCTGAGGCATCTGAGTCATCATCAATGCAAGTGGGGCCAAGCCCCGCTCGAACCTCAGTCTGGTGTGCACTTTCTGCGTCTGACTCTACTGTTATGACCTCGGGCAGGCAGCTTTTTGGCTTGGCTGGCAGGAAGTAGTTACGAAGCGACCGTTGAAGGGTTTTCGGTTGAGGACCTGGGGAATCAGGAACGGGGAAGTTGGGGACAAAACCCAGTTGAAGGAGTTGAGAAAGCACCGATGCGTCCGGGGCCTGTTTACGATGCAACTGAAAGGCGCTTATACTACTACGCACATGATCACGCGGCAAACATGTAGATCGGATGTTAATCCCGCAGTGGGGCTGCCTGGCATCGAAGGCGAGGGGTCCCTCCTTCAGATCTACTTCCACTCCTGACCACAACTCACACTCAAAGTCCTGAAAGACACGTCCTTTGGGATCGCAAAGCCAAAAACCGCAACTACCTGGCCCTGAGCCCGAGAGAACAACGCTCCTCCCAAGAGTTCCCATGTCTCTGTGAACCTCAAGTTTCCCTCCCACTCGCACTGCTATACAGCAAAACTGCAAGGCAGGAAAGTGCAGTCTGACAAAAGCGCTCAAGAGGCTTGTTGTGCAGGGCAAGGTATGGGTTGGGTTTGTTAAGAGGTTGGATCTGGGGGAAAGTCCAAAAACAATACATCCCGACGGCTTTGGGGGCGGGGACCAGAGCTTCGTGTGGAGACGTGAAGTCAAAGTGCGGAGGTCAAGATGAGGAGGGGGTTTTACGGACTTATGGAGTTCGCTGAGCAGCTCTGCAGCACACACCTCAACGCCTCGTGTGTCGAGGTGCAACTGAGGTGCACGCACACGCACGGTGCCCTTTCGCCGCTCTTTTGGCGCCAGTCAAGGAAGGCAGTCACAGCAGTCCGGCACAGTACAGTCCAGCAACGAATTCCTAAGCAAAACGCATGCATGATCAAGGGCAGCAGGCCAAAACCTGCCTCATGAGATCTGCTTTAGGTTCTGCTATTGGGCAAAAGCTGAGGCCGTAAAATGTTCAGTGCCGGTACAACACCACTGACACAAGTAGCAATAGAACCGGAATAAGTAGTACGAGTGGAAAGAGCAAACTGACAGCGACGGCCTCTAGGCGAGGGCAACTCAAGGACAGTCCGCATTGAATTCCAGTCCCGCAATGGAGCATGCAACGTGCAAATTGAAATAGCCAAAACTTAAACCTAAAAGTCACCAAGGTGGCAGTCGTGCAGGCTCCTAGGGACATTCCAGATATTCATGACCTCGGGAGATGCTCAGATAAAGTTTGTAGGGCGATCAAACAACAAGTAAGGCAACGAGCTTACCCGAGCCCAAAATACACACTCTACTCAGCGGAAGAGCAGGATGTTGACCCTGCGCCCCTCACCAAGGTCAACATAGACGGACGCTGTGCCAGCTTGTGCAGGAGGCTGTGAGGGCTGCTGGTGCGGCGGCATCATCGGGATGGCCGACTGCAAGTGCAGCTGGCGGCGATCCGTGTGATGGATCACTGACGGGGCTTCGTACGAGGGCGGTGGGGGTGCCCCGCTCACCAGTGGCACGGGCGGTCTCTCGCAGTACTCCTTCACAGTGGCCACTTGCTCGCCGGTGTTGGCCAGTGCTACCGCCACGTTGTAGAGGCACTCCTTGAGCGAGCTGGTTTCCCCTTGCAGGAATCCTACCGAAGCCAGGAGTTCCTGCCCCAGTTGGTCCAGCTGCTTGGTCAGGGAGGTGAAACTGTCATAGTCACACGTCGTGACTTTCTTGAGCACCTCCTCCACGCCATCCACCAGGTATTGCTGGTTTTTGTCGGTGGTCTGCTCCCACTGCGTGTGGTTGCTCTTGAGGATCCCCACCATCGCTGTGAGACTCTTTCCCGTCTCCTTCCAATGGCCGTCAGTCATCTGGCGTATGCTGTCCACATTTGTTGACAGCGTGGCCAGCGACCCAGCCAGGTTCTTCACCTGGGGCATGAGCACACCAAGTATGCCCTCAATCCCCGTCACACGCTGGGCCACGATCTTCACCTCGCCGTTGACAGTCGTGACATCGTGCTTCACTTGCTTGAGGTGGGTGGAGATGGCGGCGAGGTCCTCCAGCTGCTTGCACATGGAGCTTTTAGCTGCAACGACAGTAGTAGTAGTAGTAGTAGTAGTAGTAGTAGTAGTAGTAGTAGTAGTAGTAGTAGTAGTAGTAGTAGTAGTAGTAGTGGTAGTAGTAGTAGTAGTAGTAGTAGTAGTAGTAGTAGTAGTAGTAGTGATAATGAAAGTTGAAGTCGTCGTCGTCGTTGTAGTAGCGGTAGCAGCAGCAAGCAGCAGAAGCAGCGGCAGGAGCAGCAGCAGCGGTGTGGCAGTAGCAGTATACAGTGGCAGTAGTAGTAGTCGTCTGGCACGAGGCACGCAGCTGTACAAAGAATACTGGATGGCATGCCAGATGTTCAATGATTCAAGGCAAGTTGCCTATGAGTTCAAGAATAGTAAAAGACAAGCATCCGCCGAGCCTCTTCCGGGTGACGGGATCACGAACAAGTTCTGAAAAGCTCGACTTCCATATTGGCTGCTAAAACCAACCAATGAAATGATGAAGAATACCTGGGGAGAGACGTTACCTCAAGAGCGGCGCCTTGTGACGGACGTGGAAGCTGGACAGCCAGCATGAAGGACTTCCTTGCGCCAAAACCGCCAAGACGAAAGTGCGATGCTACATTGTTACATTGTTCCAAGCCAAGTTGGTCCATCATGGTCTCGCCTTGAAAGCTTCGTGTCAGCATACCCGCTGCCCTTCGACCGGAACTCAATGGCCATGGCGCAGCCAGTGCCTTTGCCGAAAGAGCATGCACCCACTGAAAGCCAACGCTGACATAAAACCCGAGCAGCGTTGGCCATCTTTCGTTCGTCCTGTGGCAAGCGCAACGTGCGCTGTTGCAGAAAATGGCTACATGCCGAGTGAAATGAGTGCGCCTATCCAGGACAGCTTGCATGCTCTGCTCAGAACCTTGCGGCCGCACAACGTAAACAGCAGAGCGAGTGAGTTCTATTGAACTCTGATCGTCTGCACGGGAGACACAGCCGCCATATCTCAACTGCTTGCTTGCCTCGGGCGGTGGGCTTCTGGGAGTGCCATCCTGGCTCACTACCTCAGGAAGCTTCCCTTGTCCCTTCTGGCACTTGCCCTATCTGTCCTGGGCAGCTGGCCCGAGAAAGCTCGAGATCGCAGCCAGTGAGGTTTTCAATGAGAACGGTGACCTGCAAAAGCTTCACAGGAGATCTGCATCCTAGTCGGCACAAAAGCAGAAAGACAGCCAAGCAGGGTATCACTATCAACCGGATGTCGAACAGTAGACCCTCATCAGTAGTACTGGTTCGAAGTGAACTTTGCCATCTGAGTACCGCACCTCTCTCATGGTTCAGTAGCATGAAGCGGTCTGAATGGCCGCTCGGCTACGTATTTGCGGCGAGGCGGCGACCCGAAGGGCAGATCAAAATATATACACATATATATATATATATATATGTATATATATATATACATACATACATACATACATACATAGATATATATATATATATATATATATATGTCAAGTGGTTTGTCTCTGAGAACGTCCTGGGATCCTGGGCCCCAAGCTGCTTGCGACAATGTTCCAGACTGTCGACTGGCATTCACTGCAGTTCTTTCCGTCGTGCCCAACTTGACTTCAGAAATACCAGCCGCCTACTGTCATGAAATCATGAAAGAAACGTCTTTTTCAAGCTGTTCATGCCCACATGTGCGAACCACCAAACAGATCTAGTGAACCAAGTATTCCGGCAAGTCGCAAGGGGTTGTAGATCGTAGAGTCTCAGAGCCAAAGTCTGCAGCTGCGAAACTGGTGCGCAGAATTTGATTTACTGTGGAGCCCCCCGAGCAGGATGGCCGCAGCTCCAAGAGTAGATGCGACCTGCTTTTTCTCACCAGCATCGGCGACGCCTCTGGGACCACCAGCGGTATAGGTCAAAGGAGGTGAATGAAACTGACAATGGCTATGTTGCAACAGAACTGCTCGTCAGCTTTTCGTTCTCACAAACCCTTCCTACCGCAAGTGCAGGGTGAACATATCGGGGCAGCCGCTGGCCAACATAGCTTCAAGGCTCGTGTAACGAGTTCTCTGACCGCGCGACATGATGGCAACGGCCTCTACCAGATCACCTACTTGGCCGGCTCCAACCCCAAATCAGGCTTTCTCTCTTTGCCCAGGTGCTGCCGCCAGTCGGCCCATCTGAACTCGGATATCTAACGATGAAGGCTTTTTTAAGTTCAGATGCACACGAGTCTATGCGGCTTTCGTCGTCGCTTGCCAGCTCGAAGGTGCATCTTTTACAGCAGGTTGTGCAAAGCTTGTCAGGACAAGCCAAACCGACAAACAGACATTGAAGCTAGAAGGCGTCGAGATTCACATCTCTGAAGCAGGGCGATATGAGTGACATGCTAAAGAGCTAAGTAGCTGCGAGAGTCCAACTAGTCCGTGGTCAATCGTCACTGTTCACTCTTCTGCTGGTTTCGGCTGCGATTACCCGACTGCAAACCCGCCTACTGGGCTCTAATTCTTTTGGCTCAGCCTCTCACACTGAGGCTTCAATCCGTGCTCCTGGATCTGCTCTCGAGCTGGCCAGCAACGAAGCTACAGCAATTCTCCAATGTGTGGAGGCGCCTGCAGCTCAGACAAGTCCGAGAGAGTCAGAGAGTCGTCTTTCGGACAGTACAAGGCGAAACTTTCACCAAAAGGCCAGCGCCTCGGGATCGAAAGCGGCCGCGTTTGCTTTCGGAGCATTGTCCCATTTGGTTCGTCGCGGAACGACCTTCCAACAATCAGTCTCGAGATCGTGAGCCTGCCTGGCGCAACGTACCAGCCGACACAAGCATTGTGCTCAGCCTTCTGGCAGCACTTCCCCTCACAACGACATGCCTCGCCACGGAATGCCTCGCCCTGCTTCTGCGCGGAACCTCAATGCATGCTCGACATGAGTCCCGCGACAGCGAAAGCGCCTACCGAGGGGTCAGCAACGTTTCAGGTACAGTTAATACCGCCGAAACAGCTTTTCCACAGCACCATGCGGTTCCGATTTCTGCCACGCGTGCCTGCGGGAGCTGGAGTGTTGCCTCGGATCCGGCTAAATACCAGCCGTTCAACACCGCACGTGCCCTCACACCCATGTAAGCTGGCTGAGCTAGCTGGTGCCCAGAAGATCGAGGCCAGGACTCACGAAATCCTCGCAACTGCTGCATCACAGACCCTCGAACACTATCGATTTTCCCATAAGACTCAGAGTCCTCCTCGTCGAAGAAGTTCGGGTCATTCCAGCTCTCCTCGTTTGTGTCATCAACACCCTGACGTGAGTCCTGCGAACGCACAGGCGAGGTTTCCCCGGTCACATGCGTTGATGACTGGCAACCTGTGTTTCAGGCGAAGCAGTTCCTTGTCGTCGTCGGCAGTGTTACCGCCATCCTCAGCGGGAAATATTCTGAGCCCAAACATCCGCCTGGCAGAACGGGCACTCTCGATGCAATCAAGGCGCATAGCTTTTTCTCCCATCACCTGCACATTTAGCACATCCAAGCTTCCACTACATTGCACCGAAACACCAGTCCTTGCTTCCAGTTCCAGTTTTTTCGGCCGCCCTTCCAGCCGCCACCTGCAATTGCATGCTATGGATCAGCTTACAGGCCCCCGTTTCGGCTGCCCCTGCAATGCTTGCCTGACTTCCCGTCGCGGTTCCGCCTCCGCGACGCATAGGGCATAAGGAAGGGCACTGAGTCCGGAGTGGCATGCAATCACCGGCATGCGGCCTCTTCCCCTTCTTGCCCTGTCCTCGAAGCAGGTGCAATGCTGCAACCAGAGCAACTTCTCATATGACGAGTGATGCTCTTCCTTCGTGTCAAGTGCAAGGCCTCGAGGCTAGAGTCTAGAGTAAAAGCACAAAACTCACAAGACATAAGCCTCGGCAGCTTGCATGCACTCATATCCGCGCAGGCACATTCACGTGGAGGGCTACCCCTGCCGCTATGGTGGCATCCTTTTGAAATAACAACCTTGTGAAGTCCTTCCCCGCACATGCTGTGAAGCTGGCAACACGAAGAACGTGTCCTTTGCCACCCTTTCCACGGCCTTGGCCTTGGCCAATTGGCTGACGCTGCTCCCTGCCGGTCAGATATTTGGACGACGAAGTTTGCCGAGAGGCAGCAGCTGCTGTGGCTTCGACTTGCACTTCCACACCGGTACAGGGTAAGATGTTCATTGCCGTGCCTATCGTTGTCGTCGCGGCGACCGTCACGATCCTCGGCAGGAAGTTCAGCTGCTACAGTGACACAAAAGGGTCTAGCATGCCGCATGCGCCGCACGGCATGTGATGCAGCTGCTCTCTGAAAACTTCATTTTGCGACGAGCTGTGGATGCTTGAGCCATGCGGCATTGGCGCCATATTGCTGTGGCTGCCTGCAGCTCAAAGTCGCAAAGACAATGCTGTCCTTCCTTTCGAGCTTGTAAACTAGGAGCTCTTTCGCTGAGCGGAGGAAACATGCCACAACATGTCAAGAGTTTGTCTCGAGCCCTGGAAAGGAAAAGCCGGCAAATGCGTGCCTCCTCCTCACTTTTGGAGGGCCACCATCCGTGGTCGAGTAGTGCTTCAAGAACCCCTCAGGTTGTGAAGAGTCTTCCAAGGAACGCCCAATGTAGACCCGATTTGGGGTCTGAAATGGGGTCTGCCTAAGGTGTGTCGCGTTTCTGCCGACGAACCATTTCAGACCTTTACCGGGCAGCGGCTTGTGCCACAACATGGGGCCGTTATGGCATACCTTGATATGCTGTGTCATGCGTCTGGTTTTGCATGCCAAACCCGGACATATCCGAGCCTTGACCCCGACCACATGAAGCCTCCACTACGGCACTGCTTGCACAGGCCGGGTTGCATCGGCAGCGCTTTGTACATGTCTTGTCACGCTTCGACTGACAAATCCTTCTTTGTTCAGGCTCTGTCTCTCTCTCGCTCTCCCTCTCTCTCCCTCTCTCTCGCTCTCTCTCTCTCGCTCTCTCTCTCTCTCTCTCTCTCTTCCAGGTAGAAGGAAGGCAGCGGAAGCTACCCTCCTCGCACGCGAACGCGCACCTGCAGTCCGCAGGATTTCGTCCCATCTCCCCTTGACTTTGTCAAGAGGAGCTCGGCTGTACGCTTCATCCGCCCCCCGACTGAGCAGTATTCCCCACAGCGTCAAGAGATCTACCATGCAACACACCACCGAACTGCTCAGCGTTACCGGAATCTCTGTCTCCTGGCTGGTTCCCCTCCGTGTTGGAAGGTGAGTCAGGGGCTCAACTTTGCAAACTAATTACAGAGCAAGGTAACCACGCAAGTAGGGAACTCCCTCTCTCTCTCTCTCCCTTCTTTCCTTTGATGTTCTCTCGTCTCTCTTCTCTGTTCTCTCTTGTCTTTTCTTTCTGTCTGTCTCTCTCTCTCTCTCTCTATCTCTCTCCTTCTCTTTCCCTCTCTTCGCTCTTGTCTCCCGCTCTCTTCTCTGTTCTCTCTGCCTCTGCACTCCGCGTTCTGCCTTTGGAATGTTTGTTCTCTCTCTCTCTCTCTCTCTCTCGCCAGGCTAGAGGGCAAGCCCCCGCCCAAGGAGCTGCCCATGGTTGGCGGTGCGCACGGTATTACATGCGAAAGGTTAGAGTTACTGGCACCCCGCAAACAACACACGTGAGATTCCCTAAGTAAGTATTCTCGTGGTGCTCTTGAGTAACTCTGCGAGCGGCTCTTGGACGGGTGTTCCGCCCCGACGACCCCCTGCACTCCACAAAGTGGCAAACACCAAACAAATCCTCACCAGCCTGTGCATCACCTGTACCTTTGTGGGGTCATCACACTGAAGCCTGCTCGCTGTGCAAACTCACTCGCTTTGGGACCCAGGGTGTTGAAGGGCTACACTTGGAGGCACTGTGGGTCCAGCTGCTCACTGAGGTGTTGAGGCCCATGGGTCCATGCTGACAGATTACTGTGCATGTCACTTTGACCTATCGCCCCGAGTACAGAAACAACAAGTGGCCTGAAGTACCTGTGCAGTATGACAAGGCGGGCGAGGTCTTGGGACTATTCGACGGTCGCCCCGTTTGCACAAACAACATAAGGCACGGGCCTGAGGGTACTTGGTACATCATCACAGTATGGGCGGTGTCGATGTCTGTGTTAAAGGTCTGCCCCGGGATGGCGGGGGAAGGTGACGGGACATAAACCTTGTAGGCAGCTCCACTTACTCACCGAAAGTCGCCCCTCTCCCCTCTCCGGTCAGTCGCTACTATCAGGCTCTGGTGAGCTCACAGGTGTGGGCCGGTCAGTAGGACTTGACACTTGAGGTGGTACGACGTCTGTTGGACGGTTCTGCGTGGGCCTCTGGCTCATCGTCCTCGCGCTCCGCCCCAGCCAACGTCTCTGCCCCGGCGCCGGTGTCGCCCTGCATGTCTTGACACGTCTGAGTGCCAGGGCTGGGTTGGCTTTCGCCCCTCCACTCTTGTGCCAGCCATTCCATGATTTCCGCGTCACTCGGTTGTGTTCCTGTCTGGCTCGCCTCGAAGCGCTGTTGTGCGGCCAAATCCTCCAGATCTCGCCGCTCTTGTTCGCCCGGGTCTTCCAGACTGTCCATTTGTGTGGGGTCACTCGCCCCTGTACTTGGCCACTGCCCCGACATCGCCTGTTGCTCTTGGCTGTCCTCCATGGTGCCACTGGAGAACCGCCGCCAGAGCCGCCCCACATGACTCATAGGCGGTGCCTTGCAGGAAGCCGCGCACCGCGGCTAGGTTCTGGGTGGCTTGCTCCACGGTGACGGCGTGCACGTGGAAGGCTCGCGGTTCTTCGCTGCCCCCCGCTGCCAGTTGCAGGACATCCGCCTGCAGTTTCAAACAGCAGGTCCCGCAGCATGTTTATGACTCCATCGAGCGATGGCGTTCCAGGAGCCTCTCGTTGGGGTCCGCGCCCCGGCCGTTGCATGAGGCTGTTGTGATCGGGCTGGTCTTCAGGTGTCGTAGTGCTTGTCGTGGTGGTAGTGGTGCTAGGCGGGGTGACGCGGTTGCCCAGCCTTGGAGGATCCCCAGAAGTCCTGGAGCTTGTGGTGTCTGAGGTTGGGCTGCCGGCTGTGCTTGTGGTGGTGGTTTGTCGTTCGCTGCCTGGCTCCTGCGTCGGGCGCGCCCGTCGTGCAGGTGTGCTGGGGCGTGGGTCCCGCCTACTGCGGTGGCAGGTGTGGCTTGTGCGGCTTGTTGAGGTCTAGGTGTGTCTGGCTGCACCGCGCTGTCCGGCAATGGTTGTGTCTCCGGCTGGGCGCTGACGTCAGGGTAGCTGTTGCACGCCCCGCTGCTTGGGCTGGCTGCTTGGAGATCGTCTGCTGTGGTGGCACTGGTTCCCGCGGCATCCTCACACACCACTTCCTCGTCTCTATCTCTCTCTTGCTTGCTTGCTTGCAAGGCGTGTGGGAAGCAGAGCGCGGAACCCTGCCCCCCTGCGCGCGAGCGCTACGCCAGTGTCCGAATCTGGTGTGAGACGTGAGGTGCGGAGCCAGGTCGGGTGTAGCTTCAGTATCGCCCCAAAGCAACACATGCAAGAGCCCCCGTAACCCCTCAAGGCAAGTACCCGCCTGGCTCAGCACATCTGTGTTGGTACAAGAAGCTTGTAGGTATTCTACAATGCTGTCGCGCGCCCCCGAGCTGTTTGCGTTCCGTAGGACTGGGAAAAACACCACTCACCGCAGACAAGAAACTCGTTAGCACGGTCACTTCGGCTCGGGGCGGCTCCTGTTCAGCACTCTTTCCTAGTCTGGTAGCTGGTTTGGTGGATTTTATGTTGCTTGTGTCAGTGCGGGACCCCGGGAGGAAGCAATGGGGGAGCAAGGCAAAACAAACACTAGGGGGAACATCACAAAGCTTGGGTCCCCGCACTGGTGGTGGTGGTGTTGTGGCGGGGCTCCGGTGTTGTCGGGGCAGGAAGCAAAAGGGGGGTCAGGTTAGCCAGAATAGGGGAACGCCACAAACTGCACCGGAAGCCCCGTAGGTGGATGCTAGTGGTGGTGGTGTTGTCGGTCGCACACTTTGAAAAAACCTCCGGCAGCTCGGTTACGCACAGCTACAGCGGGACCCCTTTAAGCAAACAGCATCCTAGCTTGGCTGCCCAACACAGCGTCAACATGGTCCCCAGGGGCTGTGCCCCGCTTTTAGTGCGGGTCGAATGCAGCATGCATTCGTCGTCTACGGTGCGTGGCCCTATTTTCCAGGCTCACATCGCTGTCCCCGTTCAAGTGGTCTTGTTGTTGGGAGCTTCTCCCGAATCGGGTTGTAGGCGACGAGGTCAAGTCCCCGAGCACTGAGCGTCTGCGTCGTGGTAAGCCCCACGCCTCATCTTCGGTGTCGGTGCCAGGGACGTCATTGGCATCCCATCCTTCGAAGGCTTCCCGCCGCATGGCCCTCATGTGGCGTCTTCGGTCGTCCCCGTGCATTTCGGGGGGTGGCCCTATACCGCTTCTCCCGCTGGCCTCCACAGTGCTTCTTCAGGCCCCGGGCCAGGGGCGGCTGGTGGCGGGTCCCACAGCACGGTCTCTGCTTCCTCCGGCACGAGCTGGATGAAAGTGCCGTTGTCCACTGTTGCAGTAGTTGTAGGGCTTCCGTGGCCAGCGGGACTTGGTCCCCGACCAAGGTCGGCATCAGCTGTTGTAGAAGCTCTTGTGCCCGCAACACCATAAAAGGCGCGGCTTCGCCGCTGGAGCCGCCCAGGGCTGCAGTGGGTTCCCCGCGTTCCTCCCGGGAGAACCTTTGTCTTTTGGCTGCCGGTTGCCCTTCTGCGGGTCCCATGTCCTCGGTGCCTTGTGGTGGTGGCTGTAGCTATAGTCGTGTGCCGGGGATCCCCCGTTGTCTCGCCTGTGTTGGTGCGGCTGTGAATGGCGGTGCTGGCTGCTGCTGTGTGGCTGTGGGTGCCGGCATCAACGGCAGCTAGGGGGAAGTGCCGCTCACTGGCAGGCTGTGTCGTTTCTCCGCTGTCTGCTTGCGTAATTGTGGCCTGCGGGTGGTTGGTGGAGGACTGCTCTGAGTCTGCTGCAGCGGCTTCAAGGGCCAGGATGGTGCGCAGCATTGCTTCTTGCGTCTCTTCGCTAGGCAGGAGCCAGGTTGGTCCCCTAGGTGGAGGGCAGGTATCTGGCGCTGCTGATCGGGTCTCCAGGTTGTCTGTGGGTCCCTGGAGTCCCTGTCTGCTGGAGCCTGCGGTTGCTGTTGCCATGCTTGACGGTAGTAGTAGATCGCGGAGCTGGCGAATGTTGTGGTACTGTGGCGGTTGAGGTCTGCTGGGGCTCCGGCTGCTGGTTGCTCTGTAGATGCATGTTGGTCTGCATGAGGACGGTGGCTGCTGGGCTTTCTGCCTTCTTGTTGTCTTTGCTCGGTGTGCTTGTGGCGTGGCGGGTCTGCTGCGGCTTCTCCTGCTGGTCTGCTGTCGTCCTTCTGGCTCTGTCAGGGCACGGGCTGCTGTTCGGGGGGTCCCCCTTCATGGTTGTGGCTGTGGTACTGCGGTGGTTGTGGTTGTGGTTGCTCGTGGTCGAGCTGGGTGTCGAGTGGGGTCCCCGTTTGTCGTTGTGTGAAGGTGGGTTGGGGTGTTGTTGTGGGGGTGGTCTGCAGGAGC